GGGGCGCGGGGCCCCGCAGGGCGCTGCGTGGCGCAGGGCTGTCCCCTGCGTGTGGGCAGGGCGCTGCTGGGGTCCTGTGCGCGGCGCAGGGCTGTCCCCTGTGCACGGACAGGGCGCTGCTGGGGTTCTGTGCGCGCGTCTGACCCAGCGCGGCCTCCCAGCCGCCCCGCTCCCGCGCTACGTCCGCGTGAACACCCTGAAGACCTGCGTGGAGGACGTGATCGACTTCTTCAAGCGCCAGGGCTACTCCTACTTGGGCAAGGCAGCCAGGTAAGTATCGCTCTCTGCTGTCCTGAGGCCCCTTCGTGGGATGTTGGTGAGAGATGATGCCTTGGGAAGAGATCCTGGAAGTTGAAGTGTTGTTGATCTTGATGCTTGTGGTGGCAGATTTTGGATCTTCCCCACACTTCCTTCTCCCTTTCCACCTTTCCATGTGTCACTTGGGAAGTGGGGGTGTGGGAAGAAGGGGGATTCTCCACTCAGACTCTGGAGAGTCCTAGCTTTGGGAAGCAGAGGCAGGACTGTGCATTGATCCTGTATGTGGCTTTTGGGTAGCGTGGAGGAACTGAGCTCCCTCTCGGGGAAGAAATTCCTGTTGGATCTTCATCTCCCGGAGTTGCTGGTCTTCCCTCCACAGACAGACTTCCACAGCAACCAGCTCTACACTTCTGGGCATATAATACTGCAGGACAAGGTGGGTGAGCTGGGGGCGAGAGGCTGCAGGTGGGAGAAGAGCTGGCATGAGAGCAAGGTGCTCTAAAAACTTCCCTTGGGGAGCTGAGCCAGCAGCTGAGGAGGGACCAGGGGGTTGGGTGGTGCCGAAGGCCCTTGATGTCTGTTGACCTTCCCGCAGGCCAGCTGCCTCCCCGCCTTCCTCCTGAGTCCAGCCGCTGGCTCCCATGTCATCGATGCTTGTGCTGCCCCCGGGAACAAGACGAGCCACGTGGCTGCCATCCTGAAGAACAAGGGGTGAGCGCAGGCTGCGTGTGCTGCCGGGGAGGGCGTGCAGGTTGCTCCAGGCCTGCAGGAGCCCTGCTAGCATGAAGGGAAGGCTGCAGGTCTGAAGCAAAGCTGCAGCCTATAATCTCGCCTGCTAACTCAGGCTTTACACCCTCTCCAGGTGGATGAAGGGCTCTGATAGTCGTGAGGGGAGAATAACCATTTGAAAGGCTTGAGAGGGCAGGGATTTGCTTAGATTCACTCTCCAGGCTCTAACAAGGGTCTCTGCCCGGGACCAGCTCCGCTAGCGCCCGTACATGGGAGCTCTGCCTCCCTGCAGACAGAGGATGTTTGGGGCTGCTGGTGGTGGCTGGGGCAGCCTGGAGCGGTGAGTGATTCATTCTTCTCTTGGGACTCTGTTCAGGCAGATCTTTGCCTTTGACCTGGACACCAAGCGCCTGGCCACCATGAACACCATGCTGATGCGGGCCGGGGTGACCAGCTTTGAGCTGGCCCAGCAGGACTTCCTGACTGTCGACCCCAGGGACTCCAAGTACAGCAAAGTGACCCACATCCTCCTTGACCCGTCGTGCAGTGGCTCAGGTACCGTGCGGGGCTTAGGCCACCTCTTCTGCTGCAAAGTGCAGTGGACTCGAGGCAGGTGCTCGGCCGCTGGCCCTGCGGCGACTGCTGCTCTCCCTGCAGGGATGGTGGCCGG